CTGTACTGCCAAAGTATATTTTCCACGTAAATCCCTTCCTAGGAAAGTATTTTAACCATTAGAGTGGGTGAGGACTGGTTGCTAAACATAGGAACTGACGTAGCTTGTCTAGAGGGCATTTTTTCTGATCTGCTTTGGTGCTGTAATGTTCACTAGGCTGCAAAAGGAAGGGCCTTTTTATTCTGCTGACTTGCTGGGAAATAAAAACATTCTTTATTCATCTCTGGTCTTAGCATGATGGAAAAGTAAATTGAAAAAAGGCACTATAGGCAGCAGACAGGTATGGACCTACTAAAGTAAGCATAAGTTTTTCTAGCACTGGGTGTAGCTTTCATTCTGTCAATAGACAGTAAACAAATATAATGATTAGGAAGATAAGTTAAATTATGTGTCATGTAGAAGGCTTTCAGTATGGGACTGTCTTCAAAAATGTTGTCCCAGCAATTGGCCTCAAACTAGTACTTCTACTGCCCTATAAAGCTGAACAGTAGTGACTTCCAGACTCAATTAACAATTCACATAAATACTTGGGACGGAAACATTAAGAACTGGAAAACAAATGTTAGGACGTATTGTTTCTAAGGAACTTGCCACTGCCGTGGCATTGCGAAAGCTGGTCACTTGATTTTTAAATGGTAATTTTTTCCTAATTGTTTTTGTTTAGTGCTTTGAGATCATTAATATTATTGTTAAAGAAGAATACTTATATTCTACAAAAAACACTGCACCGAATAGTAAGGTCTGGAAGAGATGAAATTTATATTCTTTTGAAAAGTGCTGCAGTTGTTCTGGGTGCAAGTACAGATTTTTATTTTATTTTTTAAGTGCTAAAGGCTGGAGGCTACTCATCATCTTATCCTGGCACTCATTTGTCTTGCCACTTTTGAGACTTTTTGTGGTGACAGGTGGCATCATCCAGAAAGCAAGATGCTAGCTACAGTGATTCTATCATGAGCAGTTTTTAATGTTATGGCTTATTAGGGCAAATTGCCTTTCTCTCTGTTTTGATTACCCAAGGATATGTAATCCAATTTGTCTTCTGTATCCAACATTAGCAACAGGTAGATCATAGCAGTGTTGCTGTAAGTCATTGTCCTTTCAGAGATGTGGGACTGATATACTGCTATAATATGGCTATATCTACCCTTATATTTAAGGTGTGGTTTGTAAGAAGTCAGCTTATTGAAGGCTTTCTGAATCTACATGTCTTAGTATAGGACCTGTACTCTGACTGGAACAGCTGCAATCACTTGCATGATATGTACACCTGTGGAGTTTTCAGTCTCTTGGAAAAATGACCGGTGTGGTCCTAACTTGTGAAACTCTTGCTACAGCCTGTATATACAGGCTCTATAGATTCTTTGGTTCTAAATGTTACTAGTATGGTCCATTTGGCATAATTTCAATGTGATTTAAAATATAAGACTTTTAGTCATTGTCATTAAAATGTTTCCTTCATTAGCTGAAGGAAAATAAGTATTAATACAACAACAAAAAACTATAAGGCATTTTCTGAGGAATAATGTCACCTGAGACGAATTAGAGTTAATGTTCCAGTTGGTCATTAGGAAATGTCCAGCTCAGTTAGTCATTCCATTTACAGTATAAGATTATTAAATACATTTTACTGGTACTTAATTTCAGGTTGTGCACTGCTAATAGGTTTCAGTTTACCATTGGATTTTAATTAGCAGTTGAAGCCCATTTTTTTAAAAGAGCAGTCAAGTTACTTTGGCACTAACCAAGAAAAAGAAAAAAATATGGGAAGTATAATCAGTTCTGTCATTCTATAAATTTTATAGGTTGCATAAGCTTTTTGTTTCAGAAACTAGAAAACAGTGCCTCCTCTGAACGCCTAATTGCATTTGCTCAAGAAATACTTTTTTACAATAGTTTTCTCATGTATTTGTATATTCATTTGTCTAAATTCTAACATCAGTTGCTTCTTGCAGCCTTTTTTGTTGAAAACATTGTCAGGATATTGTATGCAAGTTTTTATTTGCCTGTTAGCAATATTAGCTCTAACTTGTCTTAGTGGGTTTCTTATCGGATTTAGTCAGCTGGGGTGTAATGGGTTCAAGAAGCTTGCGAAGGATTAGGATAATCAGTAATCGGCTGAAGGCCCTGAACATGTGCAGATTTTACTTATGTTGATTTCTATGGGACTGTTCATGTTTTAGATTTAAAAGGATCAGGTCTTTGGTTGCAATTTAGTATTCCAAGATCCTTCATATGTTCTGCTTCTCTATTCTCTTATCTATAACATTAATTATACCCCTTCTGTAGGCCAAATGTATTGCACTAATACACTAATGTAGAGCACTAATTTAAAATGCCACTGAACTATAATATAAAAAATATGACATATGACCACCCTTGTCGGGGAATCTGTCCAACACCAAGCATTTGCTGCACAGTGATCTAGTTTTTTTGTTTTATGAGTTACTGACAAACTGGGCTCAGTTTGCAGTGAAGTTGAATCTGAAGTTCAATCATTTAAAAACAAATTAAAAAAAAATCAAAATACTAGGAAGTCCCATATTTTCCTCCTTGTATTTCAGGCATTCCTTATCATCTTGGCCCGTGGGGATCTGTGCCTCCTATTCTCTCTTCATCCAGGTCAAAGTCTTCCATACTTCCTGTGTGGCCTACCTTATCCTCACCTCCACCCATTATTTTGCTTTCAGAGTACCAAGAGTTATTGTAGCTGTGATTGTCCAAGAAATATGGAAGAAGTGAGAGTATTTTTGGTGATATTTCTTGCTGAACCAACTGTATAGTTGGGAGATGTGTTAGATAACATTTTTGGATACAAAGTATGTTCTGAGGAATGTGCAAGAAGTTCTTTAGAAAAAACTGAGAAAAGACTTGGCACTAGAGGCGCACTGATATATAGGCCATGTATCGGATCAGCACCAATAAAAGGAAAATTAACATTATCAGCTATCAGCTTTTTTTGGCCAGTGTAACCAATAATGTCACCAGTAAATGCTGTGTGTTTGCATGCAGCTACAGGCATGCACATGGCCAGGAATGCACCAGGCAGCCTGGAGAGCAGCATCCTGCTGGTAAGTCTGTAGGAGAGAAAGGGCATGGGGGAGGGAAGAGCAGTGTGGGGGGCAGATCAAGGCCCCCACAGAGAGGGAAGATGTGGGGCAGGGGCAGGTGCTGCCCTCCCAGGGTGGTGAATGGGATCCTGGGAGCGAGATGGAGCCATGAGCAGCTCATCCAGTGGGGGGGGGGGGAGGAGGGGCATCTGCCTGCTGCCACTGTATGCACCCCCAGGGAAGGCATGAGGCCATGTGCCCCACCCACCCCGATTTGTGCCCAGGGCAGGGGCAGGCTGCGGGCTTAGGGTCAGGGGCTGCGCCAGCCTCTTCTTGGTGGGTTGAGCCAGGGCTGGAATCAGCACCACCCCTGCTCAGGGCACTCCACTTTGCTGCCTTACCCTCAGTAAATGAGCCCACCTCTCCCTCTGCCTTTCCCCCCTGCCCCCACCAGGATGAGGCTGGTGCAGCCCCTGGTCCTGAGCCCACAGCAGGCAGCCTACCTCCACCCCAGGCACAAATCTGGGAGGGCACATGCCCCACCATGCCTCGTCCGGGGGTGAGTGCAGTGGCAGGGAATGCCCCCATACCTGCTAGATGAGCTGCCTCTGGATCTGCCTTGCTCCCAGCCCTGGGGTCCCATTCACTGCCCTGGCTGGGCAGCACCTGCCCCTGCCCCACTCCCTCATCATGGGGGGCCTTGATCTGCCCCTCCCCACACTCCTTCCTCCCCTTCCCCCCCAAGACTTACTGGCTTGAGGTTGCTCTCCAAGCTGCCCAGCTGCATTCTTGTAAATCAGCTATCGAATTGGTATTGTGTGATATGGCTAGTTAATAATCAGCTAGCGGTACTGGCCAAGAAAATCTTTATCGGTGCACCCCTACTTGGCACCCTTAAGGTATCTGAATAGTAAAAGGGAAAGCTTCTTCCATTTTGAGGGAGGAAGTAAGGAAATCTTTCAGGCTGCTCTCAGATACTAATAAAAGTAGAAATGCACGCAATTAATTTCAGTTTAAATACTGTTTAGGTATATGTTTGAGGACTTCATTGTTGAACCATTTGCATATATATTAGCTTTGATGGGGGGTATATAAAGACTTTGTTAATGAATAAAAAACTCTCTTAGAATCATAGAATCAGTGAGTCGGAAGGGACCTAGACA